ACCCTGAGATGCCCAAAATATATAATAGGCGGGATAAAAATATAATTATAATAATGCATCCTGACCTGAAAATGTTGACTCTCTTAGTAGATGTGGAGAACAGAACTTCTGAGAACAAAAAGTCTTTCAAGAGGCCTAAGATGAGCTTGTTCCTCTCCCATGCATGAGCAAGCCTTGACCTGCAAAAGTCTCTTGCCCATAGCATCCTATACTTCATTAGAAATTGGGGCTTTGAAGGGAAAGTGAACAACACGTTATCAGTAACTGTGTTCATCATGTTGCTTCTGACATATAGAACATTCCTCTGTATGTGAGTTTGTTGTACGTTCTGTATTTAAATAATTTAATTGGGCTTCCTTACTTAAAAATCTCTGAAGTTACTTCATCACACTGCATATTCATATCTCATGGATATATGGATCAGTGGCAGAAGTGGAAGATTATAAACTGATTGTTTTTTTAAAAGGAAAAACTGTAAAGGATACTTTCAACAATTTCTAACCAGTAATACAGATGTAGCTACACTGGTATTGCTGCATGTGCAGTCTGCAAATTTAGAGCAGCAAGAAGGACTAGAAGTGCTATTTTTTTATGAATTTCTGAATGTAAGCCACATTCACAAGTTGCTGAGAGTTTTGCTACACTGTGTTTCAGTTTATCTTGGACAAGAAAACAACAAAATCCTGTAATCAGTCAATCAGTTTATTACAGCCTTAAAACCAGATGCAATAAAATATCTAATAGTAGAACTGTTACATACTAACAGGAAAGACAATACATATAATAGGATCTAAAAAATAATTAAGAACAGATATAACAAAATAAAACAGAATAAACATAGTATTATAAGAAGTTCCAAACTTAAATAATGGTGCGGTGTATTGTACAGATGGTAGCAAAAAACTGGGAGACTTGGGAAGATATTTTTGAGTCCTTGTAGAAATCACACTCCCTACCTGGAAATTTCTTCAAGAGCAGATAAATTAAGGTCTTTCTAGAGTCCTTATATAGGGAGCAGCATAGTCACACATGGCTTAGAGTTTCTACTGAGCCATCACCACATGGACATAACCAAAGATACATAGGAGTACCCTTAAAATGTCCAAAAAGGGCTGGAGAGGGCAATGCATCCAAGCCTGGCTAAAGTGAAGGCCTTACAGAATTTCAGAATTGTAATGGATGATAAATAGGAGGCTGGAGCAAACCCTTTTGGAAGAATATGATCAATACATTGGGGTGTGACACCTTGCTTAAATTTGTTTGAAGATCTGTATCCCAGATTCATTGTTTGAGAACAATTCTAGCATTATCAAAACCTAAAGA